TTAGATGAAAATTAAATAGACGTTTGATTTACACTTGAGAGTAAAAGCAGAAACTATTCGAGTTTATCTTTCTATGTGTCGTGTCCCGTCAAGAGGTGGGAGGTTATGGTTATCCACAACTTCCTTGTAACTCTTAGTAACGTTTGTCCTTTTGACACCCATCCTACCACATGTTTCGCCATCCATTTTACTCGTCAGGTAAGTAACCTAATACCTGTTCTTTTTCACTTTTACCTTCGATATGTCCTTTGAGTGTCAAATTCTCCAATCCCTCCTTCCTCTTTCAGTCAAATAAAATAAACCAAAATATATGTTTGATTTATTCGTTTTCTACGGTATTGCAGGTTATTTAAAGCTAGAAAATATGTTTTTGTAAGTTTTTCTTTTTGGTGGGGGTTGCAGATAATAATGATTTAAAGATATAAGTCTTAATAATTTTATCATTCATTAGAGTTCAGATTATTTTATCATTCATTAGAATTCAGATTATTTTGTCATTTATTCATTGGTTCAGATTATTTTATGAATCATTAGGGTTTCATTTATTTTATGATTTATTATGATTCACATTAGTTTATAATTCATTAGATTTGGATATATCAATATATGTCATTGCATGTGCCTGAGAAAAGCGTGTCCGTTTCTTGAGCGGTTCTGGTAACTAAAATCTGTGAAATTTTTACTTACCGCGAGGATTTAGAATTCAAGTCAATTAAAGGTTTCAATTCCCAATACTGACATTAAAGGCTGACAAACTTCCTCCTGCCATATTAGCTTATTTATAAAATTTGATATGCCTACGCATTTGAAGATTCATATTGCATCAATATATATATATATATATATGTGTGTGTGTGTGTGTGTGTGTGTGTGTGTGTGTGTGTGTGTATTCATGATTTTATCAAATTGCATGATTGTACATACATATATACAAGGTGCATTAAAAATATTTTTACAACCTTTGGGGTCGGCTTCCTCACATCAAAACTAGGACAAAAGTCCTCAAATCCTTCGTTTTTGCGTTATTAAATTTAAAGAAAGTTTACGATAGATGGCGCTGTGTTGCAATGTAGACTAGGTTACATTTGTCATTCGTGTACATCTGTGGCTCGTCTGTCTTCAACATGTAAGGTGTGTAGTAGTGAGTTAACTGGGAAGTGTTCCGTTTAACAATGGCAGTAGGTTCATATTCTGATGAGGCTCATATGATTTTTATATACGGCCATCCGAATGGTAATTTACGCGAGGCTGCAAGGTTGTATCAGATTACATTTCCAGACCGAAGTCATCCAACATTTGTTGCTGCGTTGCTGAGCCAGGATCCGTGGCACCACAAAATAATATGCATCCAGGAAGATCTAGATCCGCTTGTACGCCTGACCACGAAGAACGCATTCTACAGGCTATCGGAGACGATCCAAGCATCAACACACATGAAGTGGTACTAGCATATCGTACATCTCATAGTACCGCATGGAGAGTACTTCAAGAGTACCTCCTATATCCGTCTCATTTGAAAGGTCTGCAGGGTCTTTTGCCTTCTGATTGCTCACTACGGGAGATGGTTTATTGCACAAAAAGACGGTCCATTGTTCATCTCTTCAGTCTTGTTTACAGATGAGGCAATATTTGGAAGAGATGGAATAACAAATTTACACAACCAAAACATTTGTGGGCGGATCGGAATCCCCATGGTACAAAACAGGCTAGACACCGGCTTCAGTTTACGGTTAATGTGTGGGCTGGAAAATCTAGGTGATTGTCTGGTAGGTCCATATGTTCTTAAGGATCTTTATTTCGAACATACTTCCAGACCTGCTAGAGGATGTTCCCCTGCTAATACTAATAATAATATGTGTTGCCGTGTAGACTAGGTTACATTTGTCATTCGTGTGCATCTGTGACTAGTCTATCTTCAAGGTTTAACGTGTGTGTTAACTGAGAAATGTTCCGTTTAACAATGACAGGATATTTATATCGTGCGCAGCTATGATTTCTCCATACGGCCGCGAGAATGGTAATCGACGCGTTGCTGAGATAGAATCAGTGGCAACAGAAACTATGAATCGAAGAAGACCTAGATCCGTTCGTACGCCTGGCCACGAAGAACGCATTCTGCAGGCTGTCGGAGACGATCCAAGCATCAACACACATCTAGTGGTACTAGCATGTGGTACATCTCATAGTACTGCATGGAGAGTACATCAAGAGTAACTCCTATATCCGTCTCATTTACAAGGTTTTCAGGGTCTTTCGCCCTCTGATCGCTCACCACGAGAGAACTTTTGCCGGTGGTTTATTGCATAAACTACCGATCCATTGTTTATCTCTTCAATCTTGTTTCTGGATGAGGCAGCACTTGAAAGAGATGTAATAACAAATTTACGCAATCAACATTCGAAGGCGAACCGGAATCCCCATGGTAAAATACAGGCTAGACGCCAGCATCAGTTTACCATTAATGAGTGGGCTGCAATAGTATGTGACTGTCTGTTAGGTCCATATGTTCTCCCAGCACGTCTTACAGGAGCTGTCTACAAGAAATTTATTCTGAACACAATTCCAGCCCTGCTAGAGGATGTACCCCTGCTAATACGAAGACGCATGTGGTTCATACATGATGGAGCCCCGGCACATTTTAGTGACATTGTTCGCAATGCACTGGCTGACATATACCATAAAAGATGGATAGGTAGGGGAGAGCCGGTTCCCTCGATCGCAATCTTTTGGATTTTTAACAGCTGGGCCACCTAAAACAATTGGTTTATGTAGCAGACATTAATAGTGCAGAGAGGTTTCATGAACGTGTCATGGGGGCCAGCGAAACCATTCGACATCGTATGGGCGTCAACGATCCGAAGAGTGCATGTGTATGTAGAAGCGGGGGACATTTTGAACATTTTTTATGAGTTGCTTTTGGTGCTCTCCATCACCGAGCTTCATACCTGTTGGTCCTGTGGGTATGAAGCGTGCGTCATATTGTAATGGTCCGGGTTCGATTCTCGGTAGTGGACGTGCACTGCTGATGAGTCCCAAATAGGACGAAACGGCCGTCCAGTGCTTTCTGCATTCTCCTGAGGATTCTTCTAGACTCGATGTATTAATTGGATTTGTTATTCAAATCCCCACCCAAATAATTTCAGTGTTTGTATATCAATGCTGGAACTAGCTTCTAATGCTCTTAGAGAGAGCGGCTGAGGAAAAGAAGACGTCGCTCTTTGAGGGTACAATCCTATGGAAAAGGAATTCTCGGATGAGGTACTCCACGGAATTTGAGAGCAGCGCTATATCGAGTCTGGTTTCGCCACTGAGGCCCGTTGGTACAGTTGGTATGCCGCTTGCGCCGTATAGTAACTGTCCGTGGTCGATTCTCGGTAGTGGGTATGCACTGCTGGTGAGTCATAAATAGGAGGAAACGGCTGTCCAGTGCTTTCTGCAATCTGTTGAGGATTCTTCTAGACTCATTGAATTAACTATGATCATTCAAATCCCCTTAATTTATATATATATATATATATATATATATATATATATATATATATATATATATATATATATATAAATTAAAGGGATTTGCATGATCATAATTATATATATATATATATATATATCCTGATTTTATCGGTCTGGAGGGGGCGATCCTAGCGTGCGGCCCCTTTGTAAAGTGCCTGAAAACCACACCCAAATCCTTGTGAGTGAAATTGGGTAGACGGAACCGTCGATGTGCTAGCACGAAGTCACAAGTCATCGTGATCGAGGGTTTGAGCGTAAGGGCCTTGTTCAGATTGTTGATCACACTAGATGACACGCTCTCTTCCAGAAACTGTAACTAAGGTCA